GCCATTTTTTCAGCGATATAAACTGATCTCAATTTTTCTTGAGCAACTGTAGTAAAGTTTATTATCAGGATTATGCAAATTCCTGACAGACATTCTAGAGACAGTTACATAAAAACTGTAGGCTTCCATATGGAATGCAAAATAAGGAATGCTAATGTATGGTAAGAATTCTACCCACAACTCCAAGAAAGAGGAACACTGAATCAAATCACATTCCAATTTAACTCTGGTCTTTTCAAGTCAACAGTCAGTACATTGTACAGTGTATGCTACATTCCATGAGGTATTAAAGTTGTTGACCAACATGGCTACTGTTATTAACACTATGGCACTGGTTACTGAATCTAACCAGAGTCAAAGAACTAGTGCCATGTTACTTGATCGTGCTTTTAGTTCTTTTGGCAGATGCTTCAATTTCTATGTCAGTTGGGGATTGCTATAGATCTGGCCTGTTATCAGGGGATTCACAAGAACTACTAGTGAAAATGTAAAGACTTTCCTGATAGTTGTGACATCTGTTATTTATCTGGTAGCAATGGCTTGTTCCAGATAGATAACACAACTGGAGAACACAAAAAAACAATTTCAGAAATATTCAACTGAATTCTAGGTCCCACATTCATTCTTATGCTCACTAGATTTTAGAGCTCACTAAATTTCCTGCAGTCACCCCAACAACCATTCCATTCATATTCCATTAGTAAGGAGGAAGTCCCAGTTGTATAGATTCTTCTCAAGAACTGTTACTTTGTGGAACAAAGTCTACAGAGAATTGTTTTCCTGATCACTATAATCATAACCTCTTCAAGTTTAGGGATAACCATTCTTTCCTAAATCTCCTTATAATCAGGATTTCTTACCTCCTCTTCTTAATCCTTTCAGACCTGAATTTGTGAACAATTTTAATGCTCCTGCCTGAGCTCCTGAGTCAAAATTTACAAATAATTGGTATGTAATGTTTCAAAGTAGATATAAAATTAGTTACAAGTGTTTACCCACCATTCAACTGGTGGCTGGCATTAAGACATTTTTCTCTACCACTGTTTGACTGGTGGCTGGGCATTATGTCATTTTTCTCTACTACTGGTAGATCGGTGGTCAGGGCTCAAAGGGTTAAGTTCATACAGCAACCTAATTCAGTAACCTTCTACCTTGAGTGCTTCTTGGACCTTGTACTGGGTGAACATCAGCAAAAAAAAAAAAAAACTCAATTATAAACAGCTCTGGAATGTGCCTGGATAGATATATTCATGTAATGACTCCAACATCTCATAGATGCCATATCATTTTGTGTAGTGGCCATTATTTTGACATAAAGAAGCTACATGTTATTAAGTAGCCATCTCTAATTTTTTGGCACTTCAGTTTATAACCTGAATTGCAAGCCTGTCTATTGCTCCTGATTTGTAAATTTATTTGGTTATGATTTTTGATTTGTTTATTTTTGGTGGGCAGAGGGGACTTTCAGTTGAGCATAAAATTTCAAAATTTGCAGTTTATGAAAATATTTTTCTGTTGTTTGCAGAAAAACACATGAGAAAAGAATCCGTTGTATATTTGGAGACATATGACATGGCAAAAAGGTGTAGGTTTCACCATGTTCAACTTGAGACCTCTTCGCTTACTTCAGAAGTAGAAATTGGAACCTAACAAATGAGAAACATAAAGGCTGACATGAAACTTTCTCAGCTAAAAGAGTTTTCTAATGTTACAAGCAAAGAATTCCTATCAAATTAGGATGGAATCGGCTGTGCTGTGCAGTCCCCCCCCCACGTATTTATGAAAGTATTAATAGTTTTCACTCTCTAGAAAAAAAAGAAATGGTCTTACTGAGCATAAAAATTAAATAAAAAAATAAAAAACAACAACAAAATAAACAACCAGAATGCATACAACATCCTGAAAATAATTGAAATTTGATTCCTGATTTTCAAGTTAATTTGAAAATCACCTTTTTTTTCCAAATACGAAATGAGATTATTTACATTTGGACTATTTTCCTGATCTTTGTTGTTCACATTTCGGCTGTTATACTTTCTAGCCTTCATCAGGTGTATATTGAACCAGATAACCTATAGGGCATTCTGAACTGGACCCTTTATTTAATCTATGGGTGTAGATTGTCATTTTGTTCTTGCTTTTAGTACTGCTCAATTATTGCTCACTCTTTTTCCTCTGAGTCCAAGAACACACTGCCCAGCCTAGGGACTGAACTCACAATTTCTATCACCAAATGAAGTGAGATCTTGGTTTGATTTATTTACTAGTTTTTTCTTTCATCTTTTTTTGTTGCTTTTTATCCCAATGGTCAAGTTATTTTTATATTCTACAGCTATTAAGAAAATAGCACAGCTTGAAAATTAAGGAGTAAGTTTCCAATGAAATTTGAACTCATGTCCCTTATCCTTTGAAACTTGTCTGACTCAGAAAACACCTTAACAAAAGCTAATCAGCAAACAGCACTCAAATTTACTCACATAATTACATTACTGATGATCTAATTTGGGCTCCAAGCCATATTGGTTATTTACACCTTGTAATAGTAGCAGATTTAATTCTTAAGTTGTCTGAAAATCTTGAAATTTCACCATGACAAACTCTTTCTACAAATAGAGTTATTTTGTCATTAGATATAGAAATAATTTAAAACATTTTTTATGATAGGAATACATGAATAAATTGTATTCTCATTAAATACTATAGGAATATATTTTAAAACATTTTCAATAACATCAATAATCTTTTTTTTAAATTGTAGAAATTTATATCTGTCTGTATTACACCATCATCTACAATTAATTTGTATTTAAATACTTTAAAATGCCTTTCTGTTCGTGAGCAATTATTCTACTTATTTTTTTGTCCTGAACAATATACTGTTCAGTATGCAATCTCGTTTTGTATTCTTAGCTAATTTGTCTATCAGTTTTGACCCGTGTAAGAAAGCATCTTCAAATTTTTCCTCCTCTTTCTCACTTTCAAAAGCAATAAACCTTAATCTCAACAAAGCATCTACATGCAGAATGGTATTGCCTTTCACATACTCAATATCAAAGTCAAACGTCATTAAGAACATTAAGGCCCATCTTAGAATTCCAGACATTACCTTAGAAAGTTCCTTCCTAAGATTAAATATGAATTCTAATGGTCTAGAGTTGGACCTTAGTAGGAATTTCTTTCCAATCAAAAACTGACAAGCTCTATTTGTCATCCACTTATTTTTTATCCTGAACAATAATATATTGTTCAATATATGATCTAGCTTCGTATCCTCAGCAAATTTATCTATCAACTAAATATCAGTTTCAACCCATTGTAAGAAAGTACCTTTCAAATTTTCCTCCTCTTTCTCACTTTCAAAAGTAATAAAACTTAATCTTGACAAAGCATCTACATGCAGAATTTATTTATTCAATACCAAAGTCAAATGCCATTGCCTCCAATTGTTTTGGGTGTACAATTGCTGATAATTTTATAATGGCCTCACAACCAGCAGTTGCCAAAAAGAGATCATTTATTTGGTTTTCTCCCACAACTGATTTTAAATCCTGCTTTTTTGTTCTAGTGTTAGCTGCTAATATCCTAACCGACACTTTTGTGTATGTATGATTATCCAGTGATAATTGTCCATTTGGTTCTTTAGATATCAGCAACATCATTGTAGTGCAGTGTTACTAACTTACTGGAAGTAGTATGCCCACAACTGCCTCATGGATAATAACCACAGCTATTTATAATCTTTGTAACTTCATATGTAAATGAGTCATCTCAATATAAATTCTTTTTTGGATATGCAGCAAAAAGCACAAACTCAAGAATATTAAGTGTTCTTTCATAACATTGTGAGCAATAATTTTCAGCTTTAACAAATATCAAAAACCAGGAAAGAGAAAAACTTCTTTGTCTTGATGAGGAGATGTAAGTTAGTTTCTAATTAAGCCTGAGATAACCTGATCAAAGCAAGCTGACAACTCTCATTAAATTTAAAAAATGTGTGCTTATAAGTACACCTTTGTGCAATTTAATTGAAACAACTGCTTTAGTTTCCTTTCTTTCACCATACGGTCAGTTTTAGACCCACTGGAGTGACAGGGTGTAATTGATTTCTATTTTTTCCTCAGATTAGGTCATTTGCAGTGGTGTGCAGTAATATGAATCTATTTTCGAGATGTATGATGAAATTTGTTTGTCCTTGAAAAATATTATATCGTTCATGATTGCATCAAATTTTTATCATGCCCAGACACTATTGTCTCAACTGTTGATTAGTTGTCCTATGGCCAGTGTCTGCAATGGACGTTACTCCAAGGAAGTGTACAAAAATTGTAATGCTGCACAAACATACTAGCAAGCCTTAATAGTTAGAAAATCAAAATACTATAGATTGGCTCAGAAACTTTCCTGATTTAAATCCACTCAATCTGCAAGGAACAACCGACTTCATGGAATGGGCATATGAAGTAATAATATGTGCACTGAGTCAAGTTTCATTGGAAAAATATAAAGTAAAAAGTAAATAATAACGAGATTACTCGTTTCATTTCAATTAATTTGCACAAGGGTGTATATATTGTGAATGAATCATGGTTTTATATATTGTTTTATACCTTTTGATGTCTCATGATCAAATAATAAATTAATTGTGTTTTATATTAAAAACTATCTATTTATTGCTAGGAATTGTTTTGTTTAGTCTTTCTATGTGCTTTTTATAACTAAAAATATTTTATTCTAAAAGTGTGGCTCAGATTAAAATATTTAGGAACTGAGTGGCTTAAATTAATTTATTTTGGCATTCTAAACTTCTAAAATAAAAGTAAAACCCAGTCAGTCTTTTTTGGACAATAGCTAATCATGTAATCAACTTTAACTTCTTGGAATAAATCATATATGACACTCAAACTGTTGAAGTTAATCAACTTCTTACAAGGTCAGTTTTCCTACTACTGCTTTAAATCTATGCATAAATATGTGATGAGCTGATACATAGTACACGGCTTACAGCCAAATCAAGTTGAAACACTGGCTCTCATACAATCACTGAAGCTAAGCAAAGTTGAGCCTGGTCAGTTGCTAGATGGGTGACCACATAGGAATAACAGGTGCTGTAAGCTGGGATGTGTGGGTGGTGTAATGAATAACAACTTAGAATTGGAAATCAGTGAGTGAGTTTCAATTCCAGTCAGATTCATTATATTCACTTATACATAAATACTCTAGGGAAAGGTATGAATCCACTTCCATTCCCCCTAGCTATGGGTTAATTACTAGGACTTGTATCAATAAATCATTATTATATCCAAAAAATTTGTACAATCTAAAAAAAATATTTTCTGGCTTAAAGTAACCTGCAAAAGGGTTGATAAGCTTTAACAAATCAATCAATCACATATAGTGCATACTCATATATATATATTTTTTTTTTCCTGCACTTAAGTAGAGTATGCGATTCATATCAGGGAATATTAGATGATCTGAATTGAAAGGGATCTTTGTTCTAAGAGTTGATCTATGATGACTAATATGTATTGGGCCAGATAATAGACTTTGCACTCAGTATTACATTAGAGAGGACAGTTTGACCTAGAAGATCATCATCATCATTATTATTATTCAACCATAGTTGGGATCATTGAACCAATGTGACTGTTCCTTTCTTTAGCTGTATAGTATGTGCTACATAAAAAATAACCTATCTACCAGATGCATATTTGCAACTTCATTAGATGTCGGTGGCTGCCTCTGATATATAAACAAGTGGTTGACCCACTGCACTTATAATGGGGCACACATGGGGCAACTAGATCACAGGTAGATATATAAGCACTCTGCCTAAGAGGGAAGAGGTAGGGAGTCTGTCATATACTTACAAAGAAAAAAAAAATTCATGTTTAGAAAGAGTCCCTACAGCCACACACCCACTCACCAATATCAATTGACAAAATCCAAAGATGAATAAGCAATAATTTTACATATGAGAGATTTATTTTCATGTTCTTAGTATTCACAACATAGTTTGTAGTTTTTTTTCTCATCTTTTTAACTTTTATGAAACACAAACAAGACACTAAACCTCTAAACTCTGCAAGCATTTTTAAATAACTTTTTTGTAATAATTGTGACAAAGGATTTTCCTTTAACACTTGTTTGCCAAATTCAAATTTATTTATCCAATGGACTTATTCAAAAATTAGAAAAGGCATAATTGATATATTTACCAAAATTACACAAAAATATCTTGAAATACCAAAGAGTAGATTTATTCAATATAATCATCATTAAGCTTCAACCATGGTCTCCATACAACTTCAGAATCTTCTGCAACTCTTCTGGATGGCCTCCTTGTTTAATTTGGTGAATGCTGCCATAATTCTTTCCTTTAGTTCATCTTTGGTGTTACAAGGAGGTTTGTTGGTCTCTCACTCAACTGTGCCCCACATATAATAAGCAAGGGAGTTGCAGTCTGGGGAGTTATGGCCAGATATAAGGACTGATGCAGTCACAGAAATAGTCTGACAGCCATGACTGGATTCTCTTGCTTGTGTGTCAGGGTGCAGAGTCCTGTTGCCAGACATAGGGTCTTCCAGCAGCCATCCTCTTGACCTAGGGCAGTACTCCCTCATCAAAGCACTTGAGGTAGGCCTCTATGTTGAGTCTGAGTCCCTCTGGGAAGATGAATGGAGGCATAATGTCACCATCACCAGTGATCACTCCAAATACCTTCGTAATCACCATCAAACTCATCCAACTCTTTCTGATTCCTCTGCACTGTCCTCCTCAGATTGAAACCCAAACACTCTGAAATGTTTGTATTAGAGCTTCCAGTGTGAATATCAAGCAGTACAGCATGCCATTTCCAAATTTCTGGTAGAGTGGATTGCATCTTGGTGCTCTTTTTCTCAAAGACGGTGCCCAACTGTCCCTACTATATTGTGCAGTTGACAAATTCAAAAACAAACAACACAAAATTAAAAAATAAACAACAAAAAATTAAAAATATAAAAATGGCAACAATTTACCCATTTCACACTGCATATATATATATATATATATATATATATAATTTTTTTATTTAAAATATGATTCCATTGGATTATTTACCTAACAAGTTTTTTCCTATTTTCTATATATTTTATACACACACACACACACACACACACACACACACACATATATATATATATGAGTTTGGTATAATAAAAATGTTTATATTTGTCAGTATGTATGGAAAAAAGATGCAAATGTGTGGAAAAAACAAGAATAATAAACTTTGTTGTAGGATTTTATTTGACATGGATCAGCAGTTAGATTTTGTCAAGCATACTTTATAATATTTTTGTTTCTATCAAAATTATTCAGTTAAACAGGTGTTCATCTTCTAAGATTAAATATTTTCATCATTAATCTAAAAAAAAAAAAAAAATGATTATCTCAGTCAATATCTCAATTTATATAAGCCTATTACAGGTGAGTAAAAAGAAGAAAGATTTGTATAAATTGATTAAGTCACTGTGTATGAGAGACAAAATCTTGGGATATGTGAAGCAAGTTGTTTTGTCAGAAATTATTTCTTTATCCCTCCTTCTTACCCCTTAATTTAAAGGTCAGGGGTTATTTAACTAAGAAAGTTATGATAAGAAGCAAGAACAAAATAAAGAAACAAGCTAATATATGGAAACAAAAGTTGATTATCTAAAAGGGTGAAATTAATACAGAATTTTAAAAGATTTAAAACTTAATAAATCTTGTAAAAATTCATTATTCATTGAAAAAAAGTTTTTTTCTTAAGACAATAGTGTTTTTAATACATCTTATTTATAAAAGCAATTAAAAGCTTTTCTAATTAGATAATGTCATAGTTTTATTGCATTTTTTATTTTATGAGTCAGAGCAGATTTTCGGTAAATGGTGTTTCTGTTTTACAAAAAGAAATTGATTTAAATTTTCCATGGTGTCCTGCTTTTAACTAATATGAAGGGGGTGAAATTTTAATTTTCGAAATTTTATAAAAGTTAACAGATGTAGAACAAAATATATTTTTACTTTGATTTTCTAAAAACAAACTTTCAAAAATAATTTCATTTATTTGTGAATAAGTCCTGACTAACAATTACTAATCAATGTTTTTACCACAAAGGAAGCTAAAATTTCCTATACTAATCTTTGACCTATCCCCTATGTAATAAAATAACAAAAAATTACTTTGTTATTATTAAGTCCAAAAAGACTTTTTTTTTAATAAAACTTTTTTTTTTTTATTAAATTTGGAGCCCTTTTCCATCAAGTTAGTGGAGGTACCTAGTCTTAGTGTTATAAAAGTCTCTCTGAGACTAATAATAAAAATAAATTCATCTTGGAATTTGAATTACTTAGATGTGCTTTTTACTTCTTTCTGGTTTCTCAGATTAATGATTAAGAATATTGGCACTGAAGATATATTTTTATACTTCTTATTCTATTCCAAACTAAACAGCGCTTTTCTGAAAATCTCAGGTGAACAATAAATCTTAGAAGGTAGCAGTTGATTTCTACAACATTAAATGCAAATTTTAGACTCACTTGGGTCACATCTTGGTTCATTTTAAGTAATAACTTAAACTAGCAGTAAATTAATCCCATAATGCCTATCTGTTTACTTTCAAAAGTGTCTGTACAGTGTGTTGGCAAGAAAATCTAGAACAGTCTTTCTAGTAATGGCTATATGCAATATATATTGATTCACCAAGGTACAAAGAAAATTACATGCACCAATTTTAATAAAAGCAAAAAGAAAAGATGATACAGAAATTAATGTTGAAGAGTTGTTCACATATTTTTGTCATTTTTTTGCATATGTTTTCTTGCACACATATACAATAAAGAAAAATAATGAAAAATATTCAACAACATTAAGTTTCTGTTTATATTTCCGAGATAAGGTATTGTAACAATTTACATAGTTTGGGTGTTGTTCTCATCTTTATTGCCATATTCACATCGTTTCAGTCATTATATGATCCAGTCTTCTTCAGGTGATATATGTTAGAATTTTGAACTGAACCCTTTATTTAGTCTACAAAGGTAGATTGTTCTAATTCCACGTGCCATACCTCTTTGGATATCTCAGTTTCAGTTAATTCCCTTTCGTGACAACTCTTCAAGTTTTTGCTTCCTCTGCTGTGGCCAGGTATTGAACTTTTATTTTCATTACATACTATGAATTTTAAGTAAACTTTATTTTTTCTGATATCCAAACATGTGCTGGACTAGTGAAAGAAGCATTTTGAAAGTTAAGCAAGGTGCTGAGAAACGGAAAAATTTTATTAGAAACAAAGAAATGAGTACTGGATTGCCATGTGATATCCATGCTCTTATATGACAATCAATCCTAGACAATATCCCCCAAAGATGAAGAAAAAACTGTAGACAGCAGAAATGTGGTTCTACAGAAGGATACTGAAAATTCTATGAACTGAGGGAGTAAGCAACAAGAAAGTCTTGAAGAGAATGGCAATAGAAAGAATACTTCCAATCAGAATCTGGAAAATCAATTTTCCTTGGACACATAATGATAAGGAAAAATTTTTTTAAAACTTAACCCTCATCAATGGATAATTGATATTTTTTGAATTAAGGGATAATTGCTAACAAGTCACTTACCTGACAAGTTTGTATGAATGAATAGTAGAACAGGGTATAGGAGCTTAACAAAGGGTGAAAAACTGCTAAAAGCCACAAGGGATAGGAAGTTGTGGAAAGCCATGATGACCGACACTACAATTTAAAAGTTTGAAGCCACACCCAGAATTAGCATGAGATAGACTTGACAGAAAAGTGAAACCTTTCAATCACAAAAAAATGAAAAAGAGCTCTTAGAGTCATTGAAAAAAGAATGGAATCAATTACCAAACTTATATTTTGAGAAACTTTTGCAATGAATGCCAAAAATTTGTGCTGCAGTAATCAAGGCTAAAGGAGGATATTTTGACAAGAGCAAAATTTAATCATGAAATGCTTTTTTTTTTTTTTTGTTTTGTCAAATACTTTTTCTAATAAAAAATCATGTCTCACTTTTTTTTTTAACCATGTATAATAATTTTCTTTTATTTAAAGTACAAAACTAATTTTGGGGC